GAAGCGATAAGAAGCTGAGATGATCGACAAACCCTAACAATTATGGATGAATTACAAGGGCGAAAAGGAACCGATCGCAACTTTGAAACCACTATTGATGAGTCCGAGAAGCGCATCAAACTCCTCATTCGGCCTAGCGAGATGAAAGTTTGTTTCAAGTTGTTTGGGAAAGACGTCAAAAGCAAACTTTCCCCATTACTCCCGCAAAAGTCATTAATAAGAGTTCGACAAAATCTATACCCTTCATTCCTCGGTGAATCCTTGGAGTACATGAGAGAGTTTCATAAGAAATATTCTGCCAACGATTTGTACGGCCTACCCAAGGCGTGTCAAGAAGCTATCGACCTGGCACTAATTTGTCTTGATGCTGAACAAATTATCCAAAAAACCACCGATCCAGTAATGAAGGCCAGGTTCCAGCACATACAAGAAGCTAGGGTCTTTGGCTTCGAGGTCAATCCATACACGGACATTGATATGGCCGAGCTTCCCTTTTCTCTTTAAATACCTTCAATACTTATGACACCACTTCGAAGTCTTCTCGGCCGTATCTCTCTTCGGTCTTATAGCCGATGAAGAAGATCGGGTAGCATGTCTGGACGCCTACCTAGATACAAGGGACATTCGGATCGCCTATGAAGGACGAGCCCGTAAAGCACTGTAGGGGCAAAGTCAGACACCATAAACGAACAGGCTCGAAGACGACAGTTAGAAGGAAGCAAGGACGGGTTGCATATCACAAGTGCAAGTACCTGTTGAGGCATACGATGATCAGGCCGAGGATGCTCTAACACACAATGCTGCAATCCTTGATAACCTGGAAGACGACGACCAAGATCCGATGGGCCCTTTGGTTCTTAAGAACATGGAAATTAGCATGGTTCATGTTCTACCAGCTGAATTCCAGCCAACTGCACACCAACCAAATTTCTTGGATGGTGATGTGGTTGTCGAAGAAGCAACACAAGTAACACACCCCGATCCAGATATTCCCCAAATACCAGCATAGGCACGTGCTAGCCGACACCCGAGGGTGATGAAAGCCATTTATTAAGTGCAAATGTTGAAAACAAGGGATAGATAAGACTTAGAAATATAAAAGAATAATGAATATGCATTTAAGGAACGTGTTCAGAGCATACAACTAACTTAAATACTAAAAGAAATAATATAAAAAAAAATTGAATGAACACCAAGAAGACTCGAAGATGCCGCTGTGGAAGTGCCTTGACGCCGGGATTGTATGCCTTGATTCTAAGTCCTGAATGCGGGCGCAAAACAAATGTGAGTGGACCAAGTTCATATATACAGTAATAATAAAACAGTTATTAAGATACTAACCCCCACAGTTTATATACAGAAAACTACTAGCATAATAAGTGATACGTTTACTAAAAACCCTAGCATGCCAAAAACATCTCAAAAGACATATCGCGGAAATCAAAACATCAATCGTCTCGTAATCGCAGTGTGCTGCCAGTAAGATCACTGAATAAATATAACTCTTGGCCCTATGCCAGCATCGTGGTCTCTGCGCCCGTAGCCAGAGATTACCAACTCTCGGCCCAATGCCTGCTTCGTGTCCCTCAGCCCGTAGCTAGGGATTATTTCTCCCAGCCTATCTGCCAACACCAGATCCTCGTCCCAATCGGCATAGTGTCCACTAGGTACGCACAAATAGTTACGCCTCTCATAAATAACCACTTCATAGTATAAAGTCATCCATCGTCTATACTATAAAGAGGGGTTTTGAAAACATGTTCTATCATCCTATCGTCATCCATCAGATAGTCTACAAGTTCATGGTTTTTATAGAAAATACGATATATCAAACTATAGCTCAATATAGACTAATAATTAATTATTCACAAAAAATGAGACGATAAACAACATATTCCATAAACCTGCTTAACATAAAATCAGTTCATAAACTCGTAAGGCATGCATTTCATTTATGCAAATTTTAGAAGAGGTCCACTCACAGTACTCCGTAGCAGCAGAAATGTGCGGAACAGGATTAGGGAAATCCCCACTAGCAACTTCACCTAAGCACAAAATTGTACAATTTATCAAACTACCCAACTATAGAATTTCAAGAAATGGAAATGGGTCTTGGGTTTGGATCCGGATTAGGGTTTAGGTTTAGGTTAAACAGGGTTAGGATCTATTAGGTTTTGGGTTTGAATAGTTTAGGAACGAAAGGGGTGCAACACACACACACACACATGCATGGCACAACACACCCACACACGGCACAACACACACATACACATGTGCACCACACACACGTGCACCATACACACTCACGCGGACTCACCATACACGCACACACCCACACGAACACACACACACCACACACCAAACACTCAACCCACATACACTCGGCCCGCAGGCCTAATAGCCAAAGAGAAAGTTGGGATTAACCCACTTGAATAAAACCGATCCGAGGCACCTTTGGGCTTTTAAAACAATTAGCTGAAAATTAAAAGGAAACGGGCTGGGTTTTAGGGTTCTGGGCTGGTCCAAATACGGGCTAAAGCCCGTGGGTGTTCTAAAATGGCCTGATGACCTGTGGGGTGTCGGGAAAGAACACCGGAGCTGTTATAGCTCGGGCCGACGGCAACGTATAAACCAAGCTCCCAAAATGCAGAGAAAAACACAGCTGAAGTGATAAGAACGAGAATATACCACTGTGAGTCTTAACCGTGGTCGAGAATGGCTGGGTTGGTCATAGAACTCGTCGGGTTTTCTCGTCGAGTTCTGGAAAACAACAATAGAGTGCATGCACAGATTATTACAGGGGTTTTAGACCTTAGATTTCAAGTCGATTTGAACATGCAAGGCTTGAGGATGATACCTGAAACATTATAAGGGAAATCTCGAGCCAAAACAGAGACTGGAAGGCTAAGCTCCTCCCTAGATTCAGTAAGAACTATGAAGCTCTTTGTTCAGCATCACCATTCGATTTCCTAAGCCACATATATGCTCAATTTGAGGGTTTGGAGGTACGATTTAAATGGAGGTTTATGATGGTGGTGGTCTGTGGCATTCGATGCAGAGAAGAGAGGTGAGAGAGAGAAGGCGAGTGAGAGAGTGAGTCACAAGGAAGGGACAAAGAGAGATGAGGTTTGTTAAGGTGTTGCCACGTGGCAGTTTAAGGGAGTTTAGGAATCTAGATAAAGGGTCCATATTTAGTCAAGCTAGGGGACTAAAATGAAATTTTATTAAAACTTTGGGAAATTATAAAATTACATATAAATTCAGGGGTGGGGTTTAACACAAGTCAATTTCGTCGCCACCGTCGAAGATGGGCAAGCAAATAACGACGAAAAACTTAGAACACCAATTCACCCGCAATATCAAGACATCGACATTCCCCCTCAAGAAGCGACTTCGGCTTTTGTAAGACTCGATTACTTTCTCTTGTTAACTTTGCTATAATGAGTCTGAACCGAGAAAAATATTACATGTCAAGTACCCAATTATTCATTTCACCGAAAATTTTATGCGCCGAAAGGCGTTGTCTATATTTCTTGGCCACCTCAGTGGCCGTTGAAAGTAGATAACCTTCATCGGCCGCATGAATTGAGAAGCAGTCTAAAACACTGGGCTCAGCCATTAAGCTTTCTAGGTTCGTGTACCTGTAAATGTCGATAATATTGTGTATATTAAGAAAGAAAAAGGATAATACCTTAGATACTCAGTAGTAAGTACTCTATGTACACACTTTCTAATTTCGCCCAAGCAAAAAATGCTACCTGTTTCTTATGTTTTAGGGTGCGTTTGTTACACCGGACTGTCTCGGACTAGATTAGCTGCAGGGACTAAGCTGGACTGGCTTGGACTAGACTAACTTGGACTAGTTTAGTGAAGTGTTGTTGCAGTATCGGACTAGGAAGCCTAATTATAATATTATATTATTTAATCTATATCTATTGATATTTTATTATTAATTTAATCTAATATCAATTAATATTTATTATTTCTTTATCATTTTCCACTTTTCTAGAGTCATCTTCTTCTCTAATCTTTATACATCTCAATTTTTTTTTTCTCATTGTTTACTCCGCCAGTGTCGCCTTCCACTCTCCCCTTTTCCTCCTTTTTCTACTCCGCCCCCTCCCTTTCTCTCGTTTCACCTTTGTACCACTATCCTCTCTCCCCTCTCTCCATTTGTACTTATTTTGTTTCACCTAATATGAAAAGCTTAATGCGGATGCTAGAGTTGCAGGTAAGCAGAGAGATCTCAAATTGCGAAGATCGTTCTCGGATCTTAAGTTCTTCAGGCGAAGATTGATCTCTCTGTTTTCTGGGTCTGATTCAAGTTCAATCGAAGAAAATGGAGAACCCATTTCTGCATATCGACCAAGTGTTCTTTCGTGGGTTTGTCGGGAAATCAAGGTTGTGGGTTCATCAGGAAATCTAAGATGTGGGCTCGTCGGGATTTGCAGATTTTGTTTCTTTTTTATCCAGAAAAAAGAATTGCAATTGATGAGTTTGGCGTCGGAGATGAAGTCGTGCCCGAAGTCTTTGCCGTCAAAATCGAGGTCGAGGAGGTGAATCAAGCAGGACGAAGGGAGATGCTGTCGAAATCGAGGTCGAGGAGGTGAATCAAGCAGAACGAAGCGAAGTTCCTAGCTAATCTCGTGGTTTTTGGGGGGGACTCGTGAAGACCGGCTAGCGACGCCTCTAGTGAAAGCGAGTCCCAATTAATCTCATTAACTCTAGTCCCGCAAGCCACCAAACACAAGACTACAATCCAATCCAGTAAAGGCTAACAAGGGTAAACAAACGCCTTTTTAAAGTCTAAAAAAGTAGCATGTTCATTATTTTTTGGACAATACTTGGGTACACACCAGGAATACCTAATATACTGACTAATCCTATAAAAAAAACGACATGTGTCATTTTGAAACTGCACACATCTAAAATTCACGTCGGCACGAAATTATTTTTAATTACATCCTCCCCATTTATTAATGAATACGGTATAAAATCAAAAGCATACGGTGACCGATATCCAACACTTTCAGAAATGGGAAAGCAGGTGGCCATTGTAGGAGCTGGGATTAGTGGCCTCCTTGCCTGCAAGTACACACTTTCAAAGGGATTTCAACCTATTGTGTTTGAATCTACGAGCAGCATTGGAGGAGTGTGGACCAAAACTATTGAGTCTACCAAGCTCCAAACTCCTAAACCGCTTTACCAATTCTCAGATTTTCCATGGCCATCTTCAGTGGAAGAGGACTTTCCTAGCCAGCATCAAGTTTTGGATTACATCCAATCATATGCTCAACATTTTGACTTGCTTAAGCACATCAAATTCGACACCAAAGTGTGTGGGATTGAGTATGAAGGTGCATCTGAGGATGAGATGCAGGCTTGGAGTCACTGGGGTGGAACAGGAGAGCCTTTCAGCTCCAAAGGGAAATGGAAAGTTGCAGTAGAAGACAAACATAGCCGTTCAACGGAGGTGCCTTCTTATTTTTAAGTGCATAGATATATGTATACATCCTTTCGAATTTAATTATGTTATGCTTTCATACTGTCAATTTTTAAGTCATACTGATCTGATTATGCATAAGCAGGTTTACCTTGTGGACTTTGTGATCCTCTGCATCGGACGGTTTAGTGATGTTCCAAACATTCCTGAATTCCCTTTCAACAAGGGGCCAGAAGCATTTCATGGGGAGGTTATACACTCAAAGGATTACGCCGCAATGGATTACGAAAGAGCGCGTAACTTCGTGAAAGGAAAGCGTGTAACAGTTGTTGGATTTCAGAAATCTGCACTGGACATTGCAATGGAGTGTTCGAACACAAATGGTAGCTAGTTTCGTGAAAATTAATTGATTGTCACATGGCATGTGCCCAGAATATTGTGATCATTTTGTTCATAGTTTGTATTACCTATTCTTCTTGATTAATTGGTTGGTTTGCAGGGATTGAGCATCCATGCACAGTAATTTACAAGACAGAGCATTGGACTCTTCCTGACTATCTTCCATGGGGTGTTCCCCTGACATACCTATACCTTAATCGCTTCTCGGAGCTGTTGATTCATAAGCCTGGTGAAGGCATCCTACTTGGTCTCCTTGCCACAATTCTTTCACCTCTGGTAAACTTTTTTATATTTATTTTTCATGAATTTTTTTTATAAGCAATAATGTTGTAGGTTAAATAATTAGTTGTTAGGAAGGGGAATCAGTGAGGTTCAAACCCTCACCGTGGTGCTTGAATTGCTTACTTTCCACCACTACGGTAAAGCCTCATCAACTTATCTTTTCTGAACTTAGTATTAATCAATTTGTAAAAAGAGGAGTTTATTAAGAATATATTTTGTGAATTATAACAGAGATGGGGATTTTCAAAATTTGTTGAAAGCTACGTAACTAAGAAGCTTGGGTTGGCCAAGTACGGAATGGTACCTAGGCACAGTTTTCTTCAAGAAATCAGTTCTTGTCTGATCTCAACACTACCGGAAAAGTTCTACGATCGAGTCCAAGAGGGAAGCATCATACTGAAAAAATCCCCCGGCAGCTTCAGCTTTTGCCAGGAAGGCGTTTTGGTTGAAGGGGAAGTATCCCCTGTGAAGACAGATGTGGTGATACTCGCTACTGGGTTTAGAGGTGATAAAAAGCTCAAAGACATCTTTGTGTCTCCTACCTTTCAGGATTATATAGCTGGTTCGCCGGAGGCCATATTACCCCTCTACAGGTTAGCTCCTCTGAAAGCACATTGCGGCAAGTTTATGCTAAATATACCACATTTTCTGATCATATCTCTCACATAACTCTAGTCCGAGTCCCATCTATATCTAGCTAGGTCTTAATTTTGTGAGATAAGTGATCAGTAAATGCAGCATGCACATGTAGATTTATTTGGTCATTTTATTAACTACTGTAACATTTAAATCTGATGGCTCATTATGCTTCTATTTCAATCAGGGAATGCATACATGGACGAATTCCACAACTAGCCGTAATTGGATTTTCCGAGAGTCTTTCAAACTTGTACACCTCCGAAATGAGATGCAGGTGGGTAGCTGAGCTTCTTGGACGCACATTTACGTTACCAAGCATAAAAGAGATGGAGAAAGATGTGAACGAATGGGACGGATTCGCAAAGCGATACGCGGGCAAATACTATCGGAGATCATGCAACGGTACCGTTCATATATGGTACAATGACCAGTTGTGCAAGGACATGGAATGGAACCCTAAAAGAAAGAAGGGACTATTTGCTGAATTATTTGAGCCTTATGGACCATTGGATTATGCTCCATCTTAAAATGTTCAATAGTGCGTTGACTTAAAAAATAAATCTACCTTTCCTTTCCTTTCAAATACGTGTTAACTTAAAAGTTACATCAGTTGTGCGTTACTATGTAATAATATTCGAGAAGAATTATTTTTGATATATTTTCTTGAGAAATGATAGTCACTCTTTTTTGTCTTGCATATATTCATTATTCACGTTTTTAGATTTTTGTGGCAAATCTGTCATGACTATTTCTCTCATAGATGAATACAAAAAATTAAGATGAAGAAATACACACCATCAATGAGAAATTAGGAATTCAGAGATGAATTCCAGCAAGAATTACATGAACAGCAAAGCGGAAAAGGATTGAGATGTCAACAAGCCGTGAGGCAGTTGGAGAGTGCAATTGCAAGAAAATATCTTGATTTCATTTCATAAATAATTTCAGTGTACGTATTGGTATATATAGAGATACAAATCTGATGACCTTTCTACCCTTAGTTAACCTAGCTAATTACAGACAAGTCCCTAACTAACACAAGTAGTTTGTTACAATTTCATAGCAGTACAAGTAATATTTGACTCATTACCAGCTACTCATACCTATTTCAATTTCTACATAAAACAACATGCATTGGAATAATCTGCTCATTCTGCGAAATGCACTGGAACTGTGCTGCACCTTTTTATTTGATTTTTATTTTATTATAACTTTTTATTCTACATAAATAATTTGTAATTTATGATTTATTTAGGAATATTTTAAATTTTAGTTGGATGTCGGAAGAAAGTTAAAAATTCAAGTGAAGATGTATAAAGACAAAGGTGTATAAAAATTAAGTGTGTGTTGTAGGCCTATTTGATTGAACTGTTGTTGACCTTAAAAATTACCAAGCCTACGTGGCACGCAGACCGAGTAGCTAGTGAGCTAACTACGTCATTCGGTTAATACGGACGCCACAACCCGTCACATCAACATTAAAAATAAAAATAAAAACCAAAAAACCAGTTTTCACAGAGCGAAAGAGATAAGGAGATCGTTCCTTCTGTTCGGTTTCGGTAGAATATGAGAAGTTTTGGCCCGCTACAAATCACAATTTTCCTCTCAATTGAATTTGTGAAATGGCGATTTAGGTGTTCGTTGTTCCAAATCACAGTCGTTGTTGAGGCATCGTTCCGATCGCGACGGTGGGGTGTATTTGCTGTGAGAGAAACACACGCAGAGGAGAGGGAGTGCAAATGGGTATTTTGGGTAGAAAATTTTGATTCCTGATGTAACCTTCTACCCAGAGTCCAATTACTACCCCTATAGAGGTAATCCAATTCCGGGATATTAAGGAATTGAACTCCCGATATTGGGTAGGCCCTACATAATTTCTAATTCCCTACTTGCTGGTAAACGCCAAAATACTTTGCGAGGAGTGCAATTCTGTTTCTCCACATTCCAACCCCGATTGGTAAACACGCCCTAAGGGTTTTTATTCCCACGGGAGGAAGCTTTTTTCCATCTTACATTTATTTAATTAACTTTAAATAATGCTGCAAAATGTTTTTGTTAAAAATAAATGAATAAATAATTAGTGTTTTTTGTTCGTGTACATTTAGTACTATTCTTCTTCACTTGTAAGTGAGAGGATTTAGGTTTGATTTTCGCAAAATGAAAGCTTAAATTACATTATTGTGGTTAGCCGAGTGTGTGGCTTAATGCACTCTCTCATCCTCTTAGTGTAAATAATATATTTTGTTAAAAAAATAGTTGAATGAGTACTTGCAACCAAAAGTTAAATGTGTTAGCTTGGATTATTCCTAGGAACTTGGTTCTCTCGTACAATTAAATATGTATATGAAGCCTACAAATTGTTATACCCACAAATGATTCATATAAATATAAGTGGCGTATCATCAATCTAAGTGTTTTAAGCGTTTACCCAATGCACAATTTCTTTTGGACGACGTACGTCAAATAAGGTGGCAGATAGATTGGCGAGGCTGGGTCTCACTCTTGATTATCAATGACTGTACGTATTCTATTACTTATCAATGCATATCGTACTGTTTTCAAAAAAATAATAATAATAATAATAAGTACTTGCAACCATAGGTTATTTTCAATGATTCATATAATTTTCGTTCTCTCCTATATAAAATGTATCTGAGATTCTGAAGCCTGCAAATTTGTTAAAGTGTATACCCAAAAGTAATTACTTCCTCCCATTTATATCAAACACAAAGTACTCTATATCAAACAATTAATTATCAAAAATGGGAAAGCTGGTGGCCATTGTAGGAGCTGGGATCAGTGGCCTCCTTTCCTGCAAGTACACACGTTCATAGGGATTTCAGCTCATTGTGCTTGAATCTTCAGGCAAGTACATTGGTGTAGAACTATGACTCCTTAAATTAATCATGTACAATGTTTTCAATATTACAGGATTTGAGAAAACTCATATGTAGTAGGAATCCTAAATTAAGTACAATTGATTTTGCATTCCATTAATCACGGAGATGATTCCGGATTATTTTCTATTCTAACTCCCCACCACAAACTGAATGATCCTTAGCGGACAAGTTTCGAACCAAATACATCATGACGTGGCTGATGAAGAGCTTTTGTAAGAAGGTTGGCAGGCTGATCGACAGAAGACATGTAGCAAACGCGAAGACTACCGAGAGCCACATTTTCACCAACAAAATGATAATCAAGTTCAATGTGGCGAATATGAGCATGATGAATTGGAGAAGCAGCAAGATAGGTGGAACTAAGGTTGTCACACTGAAGTAAAACTAGAAAACATAGATGAACCCCAAGCTCACAAAAAAAAGAACAAAGTCTTGTAGTCTCGGCACAAGAATGACCAAGAGACCAGTATTCAGATTCACCACTAGATGGGGTCACTGTCGGTTGATATAGAGCACCAAGAGATGATATTTGTGCTAAGATAAATGAGGTAACTAGTGGTGGAGCAACGAGTATCTGGAAAACCCGCCCAATTAGCGTCAAAATAAGTAAATAATTTTGCAGAAGCAAGCTGGGGAGTCAAAGTGATGCCAAAATCCATAGTACCTTTGATGTAACGGAGAATCCATTTGGCAGCAATTATGTGAATAGTGCGAGGGGAACTCATAAATTGAGCAACATCATTAACAGCAAAATATATGTCGGGGCGAGTTAAAGTAAGGTATTGTAAGGAGCTAACTAACTCACGATAGGACGTAGGAGAAGTAAGGAGAGACCAAGCTTCTAAATGACGCTAGGCGCTAGTCAGGCGGTGGATTGGGGTCTACCGCCTAGGCGGATTAGACGGATTTAAGTGAATTTATTATATATTGCATAAAAAAGTGCCTATTTATACTTAATAAAAAGATAATTGTATATATAAATTGCAAAATAAAATGACATATAGATTATAAAGTATCGAAAATATTGAAACTATGGGGAACAAGCATATAATAAGTGTTAATCCAACTATTCAACAAGTCCCTAACATTTTATTGAAAAAATCAAATGCAAAATGAAAATTATATATTTTCTCTAAGTGAGAGTAGCTACCTAGGCGGGTGCCTAGACGGGTTTAGGCGGGCACCTAAGCAGGCTAGGCAAATACCTAAGCAGGTCTAGGCACACCTTCTTAATTTTCAAATGCCTAAAAACTAATCGGGAAGGTGACCAGCCGCCTAGCACCTAGGCGACACTAGGGGAAGCCTAGGCGATGCTGGGCAAGGATTTTTAGAATAGTGGGAGAGACCCATTAGACGCCGTGAAAGATACCTTCGCAGTAAAAGGCTTGGAAGCAAGTTTCAAGGAAACCATGTCAAATATTTGCGAAAGATCATGAGCATACTTTAGTTGATAGATGGTGAGGACCAATGGAATCACTAATGACCTGAAGGCCTAAAATATAGGTGAAAAGACCCAAATCTTTGTTGTCAAACTATTATCCAAGAAGAGTGGTGAACTGAGTGAGAAGCTTCGGAGACTTATAGTAATGACATACAATAATAAATAAATGGTGTAGCTAGGAAGCACATTGATAAATAAAAAGGAAAGAATTAACTCAATGTAACATCAATATATGCGGAGACATGTAATTCACGAGACCAAATATAACCACTAACCTGAAGATGATGACATGTTGCTAAGATTAGAGTTCTTCTACAACTCTTCTATTCTGTATGCGAAGCCTCAAGAATGGGGTTTGAGTTTCTGTAAGCTTGTGTGTTTAGAGAGACTGCAGGGACCCTAATATATATATCATACACAGTGGTAATCAACTAGGACTCTTCCCATTGAGTAATCCTAATTGATCTTAACCTCATCACCGTGAATTCCTTTATTCATATCAGCTAGAAAGACTTCTAGAAATATCATGATTGTTCAAGCTAATGAATCCTAATATACATATTCCTTATCAGCTCACAAACATTGTCAATGTAGATCTTTAATATTCCCACACGAATAACAAGTGCTAACCAAGTGTATAGATCTCTTCAAAACTTATATTCTCTCACTAGAGCTACACTTGGTTAACCATTGCTAACCTTAATGTGAGATTCTTCTTAAAAGGCCACGAGATCAATATTGACACAAATCATTATTCCAGGCTTAGGTCATTAACCAACATCTGTAAAGGACTAAACAGTAACATATTCTTTAACTTGAATAATATCCCCATAATCACATTTACAAAGCTGGCCAACTCATTAAACCCTAACAAGATATGAAAATTATTGTATTGAAAAAAGTCTGCATATGTATTCATCATCATCTCAATACATGGTCCACTTTCGAATTAAAAAAAACAATTTATCTTAATGGTTGTTAATCTTGACAACAATTGCACAAATTGTCATACCATTATGCATATAAAATATATACAAACATCCTCAACTAAACTGCATATTTAAGTGAAAACTTTGACAACCTCATAGTTTCAACTTTGTTAGTCTAGAATCCTTAGTAATCTTTTAATAAGATAAATAAACAAACTTGGCAACTAGAAAACATTCTTTAAATAATACTTAGCTTCCATTTGTCAGCTGCATCGAAACTTGCCAAAACTCTCATCTTTGTGACATGCTTCTTGAAAACTAAAACTGGTATAGTCATGTACAAGGGTTCGGTAAACATAGCCCTAGTCTCTTTTGTTATTCTTGGTGAAGAATATGGCTGCATTATTGTC